GATTAGAATGCACAGCTCCGTCACCAGATTGCCCTCCCTCATGCACGCACACTGCACAAGCGTCTCTCTCGGATTCACCACAGAAGCATAGAAAGTCAAATATTAAACAAGTTACCGTTTGTTTCGCGTGAAAATCCCGAGAGGCGACGGTTGAAACTCAGCACGTCCGGTCAGTCCGCCCTTCCAGAGATATGGGTAAGCGACGAGATTGATTTTGAATCCCGGGCGATCACTCCCCCGATCCGGACCCGCGTGTTCCAACGTCAGCCTTCGAGACCACTTCTGACACCAAATTGTTTTGGAAATTCTGATGCTTCAATTGAAATAAATCCGAGAGGAAACAGACTTGCCTTTGTGCAGTTTTATTTACAGAAGTGATGAGTACAAAATGACATTTCTGCGCAGAAATGAGCCAGACAGAAACGGGACCTGGGCCGATGCCGTGTCTGTTCTCCTGCCCAACAAGCGTGCCTATGATCTTATACTGGAGGTGTGTCAGACAGAACAATGAGCATTCGTCACAAGACAGATGAGTCATACGCGGCTGCAGACGGGAAAGTTTGGGAGAGATACATTAAGCGCAGAAAAGGACCTTCGAATTTGATAAGAGGGAACACGCTGTAAGTACATTTGAGATACGCACCTGCAGATGGTGGCCAAGGCTATTGCTGAACAAGAGGCCCTTTGTGCTAATGTTTCAAACAGTGATGGGAAGCAGTTTCAGACGCTGGGAAACAAGACGCATGTATCGACCTAAATGATTAGAATATCTTGTGCCGGGAACTGGCCATAACAGTATGTATACTAAGACAGAGGTCTGTATGTATACTGAGACAGAGGTCTGTATGTATACTAAGACAGAGGTCTGTATGTATACTGAGACAGAGGTCTGTATGTATACTGAGACAGGAGAGGTCTGTATGTATACTGAGACAGGAGAGGTCTGTATGTATACTGAGACAGGAGAGGTCTGTATGTATACTGAGACAGGAGAGGTCTGTATGTATACTGAGACAGGAGATGTCTGTATGTATACTGAGACAGGAGAGGTCTGTATGTATACTGAGACAGAGGTCTGTATGTATACTGAGACAGAGGTCTGTATGTATACTGAGACAGAGGTCTGTATGTATACTGAGACAGAGGTCTGTATGTATACTGAGACAGAGGTCTGTATGTATACTAAGACAGAGGTCTGTATGTATACTGAGACAGAGGTCTGTATGTATACTAAGACAGAGGTCTGTATGTATACTGAGACAGGAGAGGTCTGTATGTATACTGAGACAGGAGACGTCTGTATGTATACTGAGACAGAGGTCTGTATGTATACTGAGACAGAGGTCTGTATGTATACTGAGACAGAGGTCTGTATGTATACTGAAAGATTGGGAATTGTATTTGAAGTGTCTGTTTGAAGCTGCAGAGATAATAATACGGTGGTTTTAAATCTTTTATTGAAGTAAAAATAACACTGTAACGACATGAGGAAGAAAAAGGCCCCACTTTACACTGTCACATTGTTTCCTCTTGGCTCTTGCTGCTGGATTTGTTTCTTTGAACCGTTTTGGGAATGACATTTCTTTCCATTTCTTATTATAAAAGACTTTCTTTCACAGTGAGGATGACAATGAACACTTGCAAAAGACTGGCGAGAGAATGGTGTGTGTGTGTCTGTGCGTGTGAGTGTATTTTTGGACCAGTCTAGTTTAGTTGCTGTGGACTTCAGAAGGCACTCGTTAAATGAATGGGGCTCCTGCAGCGTTTTTTTCACATTTTCCAGTAAGTAAAATCTAAACCGAGCCTCTGTGCAGCCTCTTCAGAGACGGTACGATGGAGGGACTTTTTGCTTATGTCCCGTAAGGAGAGAATCTGGTCATTTTTTTCTAAGATATGGATTGTTTTAGCCTGGCCTTATCGTACAAGCATCCTCATTTCATTTCGTACTAAGGTCTGGATTTGCTCCATTGACTCCGTTAACAGGTGGGAGGGGCTAACTCCTTTTGCAGATTGAAACGATTGGATCTGAGTTTACCGTAACGTATGTAATGAGCCCGAGTGAGTGAGGCATTTAGCATTTAGCCTAGCTTTAGCCATCTCCTTATCCACTAACGGAGCCCGTGGGGAGTAGAGCCACAACATCTTTGCAGCGATGACATTTGCTAAACATTCCTCCTGCTCCCGCTTCAATTTCTTTATGTAGGAAATGATCAGGACCAGAGTTTACACATGGTAAGACCAGGCAAAAACAACACACAAATACTGCATAATTTCTGTCCTTAAACCCAGCCAGACTCTGCCGCCTTCGCCTTCTCACATTTAAATGTCTCTTCTCATGTTTTCCTCAAAGACAGATGTCGGTGGGAAGCTTAAAATGTGACAAACTTCTAACATCCCATTTCCCCAGAGCGATACTATCTCCCTGAACACACACAGGCTCCGATCTGTGGCATGACCTTCGCAACCGTGTGTGTGTGTGTGTATGTGTGTGCGTGTGTGTGTGTGTGTTTGTGTGTGTGTTTGTGTGTGTGTATAGACAGAAATCTTCCACAGACACACATAAGACCAGGTATAAAGGCGACTGTCTGCTCTGTTTATGTGGTGTTTGATAATATCTCTATATCTTGTATCTAAATCTAAATCAGATTCAGATGTAGTTTATTTGCCATTTGCAGTAAAACCCCATTGGAATACATTTGTCCCCAGTGTGCACAAGACAAGTACATACAAAAAAACAAGGTATTTTCTGTGTTATTAATCAATAGGGAATTATTAGGAAGTTGAATGTTAGTGTGATAATGTATCTGGAGATAATCTTAAAAACTACATATGTCTTTAAAAAAAACTTAATTAATGTAATGTTTTCATGCTCTTGTTCTCGCTGCGTCTCATGGCCTCGGTCCTCGTTCTACAGCCTGAGTCCTTGATCTACAGCTGGCCAGTGTGTGGGAGCAGATCTCTCCCTCAATGGGGCCTTCCCGAGGTTTCTCACTTTTTCTCCACTGCGTTTTTGAAGTAGTTTTGCCGATGGAGGACAGTGGCGATAATCCAGGATAATCCACATTCAACAACATTTATGGACAAGTATTTCACATTCATGGACATTGGTCTCTGCCCTTTATGGACAAAAATAACTATAATTGAATGAGTCATTTTGCATTGCTCCACTCCTCTCTATGGAAAAACTCATATATGTAAGAAAACACCTCTCGTTGTCTTTTCCGGGATGTATCTCGTGGACAAATCATTATTTTTTGACATCTTGGGACATCATTAGAGCTACGTCTCCACGTGTGGATGCTGAAAATACTGCTGCAACTTCAGGCTTGTCCAATGAATCTCGTTTCCCCTTATTTCTCTGAGCTCCGACAGAAAACAAACCCCCTTTACTGATCTAGTTATGGCTTATGCAAAGTAACAAACAAACACATGAAATCCCAGCCTCCTGCAGAACAATGAACTGATGTAGACTGTCCGGTTCAAGCTCCGATAATCACCAGAAAGGGAGAGACAGACACAGAGAGAGAGAGACAGAGAGCGCGAGAGACAGACTTAGAGAGAGAGCAAGAGACAGACTTAGAGAGAGAAAGAGAGAGACAGAAAGAAAGAGAGAGAGAGAGTGAGACAGAGAGAGAGAGAGCAAGAGACAGACTTAGAGGGAGAAAGAGAGAGACAGAAAGAAAGAGAGAGAGAGAGTGAGACAGAGAGAGAGAGAGCAAGAGACAGACTTAGAGGGAGAAAGAGAGAGACAGAAAGAAAGAGAGAGAGAGAGTGAGACAGAGAGAGAGAGAGCAAGAGACAGACTTAGAGGGAGAAAGAGAGAGACAGAAAGAAAGAGAGAGAGAGAGTGAGACAGAGAGAGAGAGAGCAAGAGACAGACTTAGAGGGAGAAAGAGAGAGACAGAAAGAAAGAGAGAGAGAGAGTGAGACAGAGAGAGAGAGAGCTAGAGACAGACTTAGAGGGAGAAAGAGAGAGACAGAAAGAAAGAGAGAGAGAGAATGAGACAGAGAGAGAGAGAGCAAGAGACAGACTTAGAGGGAGAAAGAGAGAGACAGAAAGAAAGAGAGAGAGAGAGTGAGACAGAGAGAGAGAGAGCAAGAGACAGACTTAGAGGGAGAAAGAGAGAGACAGAAAGAAAGAGAGAGAGAGAGTGAGACAGAGAGAGAGAGAGCAAGAGACAGACTTAGAGGGAGAAAGAGAGAGAGTGAGACAGAGAGAGAGAGAGCAAGAGACAGACTTAGAGGGAGAAAGAGAGAGACAGAAAGAAAGAGAGAGAGAGAGTGAGACAGAGAGAGAGAGAGCAAGAGACAGACTTAGAGGGAGAAAGAGAGAGACAGAAAGAAAGAGAGAGTAGTCGGAGGAGGTCAGTCAGAGGAGGTCAGTCAGAGGAGGTCAGTCAGAGGAGGTCAGTCAGAGGAGGTCAGTCAGAGGAGGTTAGTCTTGGAACAACCTTCCTACCGTCATAAGAAAATGTCCGACATATAGCTCTTTAAAAAAAAAAAAAAAACTTAAACACCATATTAAAGAAAATCAGTGCTGCACTCATTCTAAATAACTGTAATTAGTATAATGAGGCGACAGTGGCTCAGTTGGGAGAGCATTTGACTTTGACCCTGCAGGTCGTGGGTTCAATCCCACCATGAGACCTTCACAACTCCCACTGATGACTGCTGTCGTTGTGTCCTTGGGCAAGACACTTAACCCCACTTTGCCTGAAGCCCCCGCTGATAGATCTCAGCTCCTGTGGACTAACAGGGGAAGAAAATGGATGGATGGAAGTAAGTTGTATTGTTGTATTCTTGTTATCGTGTGACCTGCCTCGAGACTACGGATGCAAATGAGCAGTTGTGCTATAATCTGGCACATTTACAATTTTTTTTACAACTTGTATATAATTGTTCATTAATATGGGTTGTCCCGATCAAAAAAATAACCAAATACATAAAACTGATAATCACCATCTCCAGCTCAATGTGAGTTATTGATGTTTACACAAAAGATGTCATGAAGAGAAAGCTGCAGTCTCCAGGAGAGAGAGAGATGAGCACAACTCGTCCGTTTTTCATCTCGCAGCAGAATTTACGCTTCAATTTCAGCGGCGAGCACAGCACCAGCGGCGAGCACAGCACCAGCGGCGCCGGCTTCTCCCAGGACTGAGATCTACACTTTCCACACAATGTTTATTCTCTTTAATCTGAATCCGCGATGACTGTATCACGTCCTCCAGGCAGATACGACAGGGCGGGGAATAAAACACAAAACAGGGCGGGGAAGAAGAAGATTTAGTCCTTGGTTTTCCATTTATAAAGTAGAATAAATACAACCAGGCTTTTTTCCCTTTTTCGTTTTGGGAGAGGTTGCCGTGGCAATGGGTTAAAGAGAGGAATGGGTCAAAAAAAAGGGTACAAATATTAAAAGAATAAATAAAAAACAGAGAGAAACCAGAGAGAGAGACTAAAGTGAAAGACATGAGAGAGAGAGAGGGAGACTAGAGAGATCAGAATGGGAGAGAGAAAGAGAAAGAGAAAGAGAGAGAGAGAGAGAGAGAACAGAAAGAGAGATGGTGGCTGAGTGAGCACTCTCGCCTCTCAACAAGAAGGTCGTGGGTTCGAATCTCGGTTGGACCAGGGCCTTTCTGAGTGGAGTTTTCTGCGCTACCACCAGAGGGAGCTGTACATTTTTGTAGTTTTATTCCAAACTTGAAACTTAACCCTGAGATGTTCTCCCTGTGTCTGCATAGGTTTCCTCCGGGTACTCCGGTTTCCCCTACCACTAAAAATACAGTGCCTTGCGAAAGTATTCGGCCCCCTTGAACCTTTCAACATTTCGCCATATTTCAGGCTTCAAACATAAATATGTCAAATTTTAAGTGGGACACAATCGTGAAGTGGAATGAAATTTGTTGGATAATTTAAACTTTTTTAACAAATAAAAAACTGAAAAGTGGGGCGTGCAATATTATTTGGCCCCTTTACTTTCAGTGCAGCAAACTCAGTCCAGAAGTTCAGTGAGGATCTTTGAATGATCCAATGTTGTCCTAAATGACTGATGATGATAAATAGAATGCACCTGTGTGTAATCAAGTCTCCGTATAAATGCACCTGCTCTTTGATAGTCTCAGGGTTCTGTTTAAAGCACAGAGAGAACCATGAAGACAAAGGAACACACCAGGCAGGTCCGAGATACTGTTGTGGAGAAGTTTAAAGCCGGATTTGGATACAAAAAGATTTCCCAAGCTTTAAACATCTCAAGGAGCACTGTGCAAGCAATTATATTGAAATGGAATGAGTATCAGACCACTGCAAATCTACCAAGACCCGGCCGTCCCTCCAAACTTTCATCTCAAACAAGGAGAAGACTGATCAGAGATGCAGTCAAGAGGCCCATGATCGCTCTGGATGAACTGCAGATAACTACAGCTGAGGTGGGGATGGTGTGTTCAGGGTGATGAGCTGTGTTGGTTTTACGCCAAACATATCGTTTTGCATTGTGGCCAAAAAGTTTGATTTTGGTTTCATCTGACCAGAGCACCTTCTTCCACATGTTTGGTGTGTCTCCCAGGTGGCTTGTGGCAAACTTTAAACGAGACTTTTTATGGATATCTTTGAGAAATGGCTTTCTTCTTGCCACTCTTCCATAAAGGCCAGATTTGTGCAGTGCACGACTGATTGTTGTCCTATGGACAGACTCTCCCACCTCAGCTGTAGTTATCTGCAGTTCATCCAGAGTGATCATCGGCCTCTTGGCTGCATCTCTGATCAGTCTTCTCCTTGTTTGAGATGAAAGTTTGGAGGGACGGCCGGGTCTTGGTAGATTTGCAGTGGTCTGATTCTCCTTCCATTTCAATATAATTGCTTGCACAGTGCTCCTTGAGATGTTTAAAGCTTGGGAAATCTTTGTGTATCCAAATCCGGCTTTAAACTTCTCCACAACAGTATCTTGGACCTGCCTGGTGTGTTCCTTTGTCTTCATGGTTCTCTCTGCGCTTTAAACAGAACCCTGAGACTATCAAAGAGCAGGTGCATTTATACGGAGACTTGATTACACACAGGTGCATTCTATTTATCATCATCAGTCATTTAGGATAACATTGGATCATTCAAAGATCCTCAATAAACTTCTGGAGTGAGTTTGCTGCACTGAAAGTAAAGGGGCCAAATAATATTGCACGCCCCACTTTTCAGTTTTTTATTTGTTAAAAAAGTTGAAATTATCCAATAAATTTCGTTCCACTTCACGATTGTGTCCCACTTGTGGTTGATTCATGACAAAAAATTAAAATTTTATATCTTTATGTTTGAAGCCTGAAATGTGGCGAAATTTTGAAAGGTTCAAGGGGGCCGAATACATTCGCAAGGCACTGTATGTACAATAGGTCTGGCATGCGCCTCCTGTACTGGCGACCCCGCTCCCAAAAGGCGGTATATAAATACATAAAGATTACTTACTTACTTACTAGAGAGACCAGAAAGAGAGAGACTAAAGAGAGAGAGACAGACAGACCAGAAAGAGAGAGACTAGATAGAAACCAGAGATACACCATAACATTTTAAAATCCAGTTTAGAAACAGTTCTGTTTAGCTGCAGACAACAATCTTTTTATAACGTTCTGTGATTAATTATGAGTTCATGCCTTGTATTGTGTCTATCTTGTTTTGTTTTCAGAACTTTGAGCTGCCTTGTGAATGACTTGTGCCATACAAATAAACTTGCCGTGTCTGTTTTCAGCCACAAACCTGGGTCTATTTCTGCTTCTCTGAGTCGGCGTTGGAGGCTGTTTTAGCACCGTGCACTTCCAGGTCTGATCCTCCTCACGGCCTCATCTCCCGTTTATGTCCACGCAAGTCTGTGCTGGAGTGTAGTTCAGGGCCCTGTAAGCCGCTTTCGGGCCAAACTTTGGGGATTGGAGAGTGACCTAGAATTCAACTGAACTCTTACATTCTGAGTGGTTTTATCCAGTGTCGGCTGCGAAAGAGAGTTTTTGATCGATGTTACAGCCTCCTTGACCAAAACAGACCTGGAGTTGGTTTTAGCTCCATCCACGCTCAGTTGAGAAGCTAATTTATGTTTGGAGTGTGTAGAGGCATAGAGTGAGACCTCCACAGTGGGGTAATTTCATCACCTGGGTTTGTCTGTTAGTTGTCCTGGGTCTACAGCATCAAGTCCTGGATCTACAGCCTCAGTCCTGGGTCTACAGCCTCAGTCCTGGGTCTACAGCCTCAGTCCTGGGTCTACAGCCTCAGTCCTGGGTCTACAGCACACAGAGAGAGAAAGACAGACACAGAGATAGAGACTAAATAAAGAGAGAGAGAGAGAGACAGAGACAGACAGAGAGTGAAAGACACACACAGAGAGACAGGCAGACAGAAACAGAGAGAGAGAAAGAGAGGGATAGACACAGAGAGAGAGAGACGGACACAGAGAGAGAGAGACATACATAGAGAGAGAGAGACAGAGAGAGAGAGACATACAGAGAGAGACATACATAGAGAGAGACAGACAGAGAGAGAGAGACAGACAGAGAGAGAGAGACATACATAGAGAGAGAGACATACAGAGAGAGACAGACAGAGAGAGAGAGAGAGAGATACATAGAGACAGACAGACAGAGAGAGAGAGATAGACAGAGAGAGAGAGAGAGAGATACATAGAGAGAGACAGACAGAGAGAGAGAGAGACATACATAGAGAGAGAGAGACATACATAGAGAGAGAGAGACATACATAGAGAGACAGACAGAGAGAGAGAGAGAGAGATACATAGAGACAGACAGACAGAGAGAGAGAGACAGACAGAGAGAGAGAGAGAGACAGAGAGAGAGAGTTACATAGAGAGAGAGACAGACAGAGAGAAAGAGAGACATACATTGAGAGAGACAGAGAGAGATAGAGATACATAGAGAGCGAGACACATCAAATTTAGTTGTAGTTTAGTTGACTGTAGCTTTAGTTGAATGCTTTAAACAGTGAATATAAACGGCCAATCCCAGAACTAATTTAGAAGTAGGACTTTTTGTTCTCAAAGACATTTGAAGGAGTCGGTCCATGACGTCAGAAGAATCCGCAGAACACAAAGAGACTGGGCTTTTGTTGTGCGTTTGGGGAGAGCTGTGTTTACTGAAGGGAGAGGCGTGGAGCGGAGAGGGTTACGGCGTGTCACGCTAATAATCCGGTTAGACATGTCCGCCCTGGATCCATGAATACAAAGAAGGAGCTGCCTTTGATTTCTCCTATCTGTCTGACAGAGAGAGAGAGAGAGAGAGAGAGAGAGAGACAGAGACAGAGAGAAAGACAAAGAGAGAAGGTGACAGACAGAGAGACAGGAGATAGAGAGAGATAGAGAAAGACATACAGAGAGAGAGAGAGAGGCAGAGAGAAAGACAAAGAGAGAGGGTGACAGAGAGAGAGATAGAGAAAGACATAGAGAGAGAGAGAGAGAGAGAGAGAGAGGCAGAGAGAAAGACAAAGAGAGAGTGACAGAGAGAGAGATAGAGAAAGACATAGAGAGAGAGAGAGTGGTAGAGAGAAAGACAAAGAGAGAGGGTGACAGAGAGAGAGATAGAGAAAGACATAGAGAGAGAGAGAGAGAGAGAGAGGCAGAGAGAAAGACATGGAGAGAGGGTGACAGAGAGAGCAAGAAAGAAAGAAATTGCAAGAGAGAGAGAGACCAGGGAGAGAGGGAGAGAGTGAGGAAGAGAGAGAGAAAGAGCAAGAGAGATATATAGAAAGAGAGAGAGGGAAAAAAGATAGAGAGAGAGGTACGAATGTAACCGGGTGGTTCTGCTGGATCTTTAGCTTTGACATTTCGAGCCAAAATCCATAAAAGGAAACACAGGTCAGGTGTATTAAGAGGCATGATTTCGTTCAACACATTTATTTTAGCAGTTATTTTCTTTGTTGACAGGAGAACGAATAAAATATGTTACATTTCACATGTTCGTTAAAACAAGGGTAGACAAGGCAACCGCGCTCCAGAGTTCTCACCCCGCCTTCCCCAGCTACAGCCGGACTACAGTCTGACCCAGGGCAACGACGCTCGGTGAGGGACCATGACGGCTGATCCACAACGTTCCCGGGAGGTAGCCGACTGGGGATACTCGCAGGCCTGGAGCTACATCGCGGGGCACAGCCACACCACGAACTGCATTTAAATAAAAC